TGAAGAAAGAATTGGACTCTCTGAAGCATGAGGAAGAGCTTCCAAAGGTTGAGGAGGTACTGGCAAAGCCACAGGATAACACTAGCCCACTGAATGAGGGATGTGGTGCCAATCTACCGAGTCCCAAGGGTTTGGGAGATGAGCAGACACTAGCTTTGCTGGAACAGTACTCGGAGCTATTGCTACAAGCCGTGGAACGACGCATGGACAAAAAACTCTAGGACGGGTGGCTTTCAGGTGTTTGTGTGTACACAGAAATAATCCCAAGAAGAGGACCACAGAGAGAGCTTCAGACCGATGCTGTCATCGCACTGGTCGAGGGCTGATGGGGACACCGTTATAAATGGATTTCCTCAGGCTCCTATGACAGACTTGATCTAATTCTTAGCAATGTGCTGGCCACAGTTTTAATATTTTTCAACTTCCTATCTCTAAACAAAGTCTTGAAAGAGGAGTTTGGAGAAATTGCCTTGAAGTTTCTTCATAGCCAGTCAGGATGTTTGGCATTTAAAAAAAAAACTAAGAAATTCCAGTTTATCCAAGAAATTCTGAACTGCTGACTAAATGCAAAGGAGTCTAAGTGAAGCCAATCCTTTCCTCTCCAAGGCTTCAGGAGAATCAAGAAGCAGACTTTTTCTGGGTTTATTTATTAATTTATTTCTCTGACTGTTGCTCTGTGCCATGTTTGTGGCTGTTATCTTTGTCCTTTAAAAGAACTGTCGATCCCTTTGCCATATCCCAGCGAGAAACAATCTCTGTATTATAAACCCCCAACAGGGAGACAGGCTGGAGCGTCTGTGCAATTAATGAACTTTTCTCTGCTTAAATCTTGTCTTGCTGTTCTTTCTTTTCCTGCCTTAGTTTTGTTACCTGCAGTAATCCTGCTGTTGTTTATGACTCTGTCTGCTTTTCTTTTGTTTCGAGGCAGTCCCCACACTGTGTTTTATCTGCATTTGCTTCCAGGGGAATGCTCTGCATCCCTTGGACCATGCTTTGGAGATTACTTTATGAATTCATTAGTATTGATGTTATATTGATACTTCAGACCGGGTTTTCTGCAGACATTTTAAAAATGAGATTTAGATACAATACAAAAGTTTGTTTCAGCCACTTTTCATAATTAGGAATTGGATATTGACTTTGATGTTGTCATGACTAGGAAATTTGGGGTGATGATTTATTTGTTGAGAAGTGACACAGAAAAGCTTGTTTCCATCTCTTGCAGTGTAACTCTGGATCTGAGAGATCTTCAATGTCATGACTCATCCATGTAATTTGTTTCAGTGTGATAGGAAGATGTTTTCTTCTTGCCTTTACAGGAAAACAGAACATTTACATCTCAAGAAAGTTGGGATTTTTTTACCTTTTGTAAAACTATTTCAACTCCCCACAGAAAATGATTTCCCAAGATCTTCAAACAAGATATTTTGGGGTGTGATCACTACCATTACCCCTGCCTTCAGCCTCTTTGCTTTTCATGAACTTCTAGTCTGAGAAACAGAAAATCTTCTCTTCTTGCATTTGTGTGTGCAATATTCTTCTTGCCCTGTGGAGCTTCTCTAAGCCCATGCTAACTTGTGTTTGTTGTGGCTTAAAACTGTCTAGTGATGTTTTCAGGTCAATAATAAGCTAAGAAAAAAAAAATTTAAACCAATGAAATTCTTCAGCACCTTCCCCCTTACTCCTACTCCTTTCAAAAACAAGGGCAGATACACAAAGTGTTTTATTTCTTCCATCTCCTATCTGTCTTGCATTTATTTTAAGGCAGAGCAGTGTAATCCTAGTTCATAAAACTAATGCAAGGAACAAGCTTTTGGTGGGAGGGAGACTGCCGTCATCTGTGGAAGTCAGTCAAAAGCAGCCAGACTGCATCACTTGGTTACATAGGTTACACATGTTGGAAGCAATTTTCTTTCATTTTACAGTCCTGGCTGTTGTCTCTCTGAAGCCCTGTGGAAATGTGGTCTGTTGACTTTTCTGTCGTTCTGTGACTGCAGATCTACAGTGCAGCCTTTTTTCTGCGGGGCTGGCCAGACTATTGTAGGATGACCTATTTCTTCCAAATAACTCTATGGATGAATAATCTGCAGTTCTTTCTCTCCCCCTAATAGATTTGCTGCCTGATCACCACTGCTGAGTGCTTCAGGACATGGGAGTATGGGGAACACTTTGAGAGCTTTCCAGCTACTTCTGCCTGTAATTTAAACCTGCGTAATCATGTTTCAGGTGTCCTTGCTAACCTTCCTTCCATGGGTTTGTACTGAAACTTTAAAAGTGTTGTTTTCTAGTTCTGTCTCTGCACTGCACTGTGCTGAATCAGCTGGTGTGCTTGGTCCCATGGGCAGCTTCTCTTGCACAGACAGGTTTTGCAAAGGAAGGCAAGTTGAAAGCCAGAGAGGAAATGTCTGGCGGTTTCTTTGAGTGAAAAGGTCTGCTGGAGAGGCCGCGAGCGGAATGTATGATGACAGTCATGTTGGGTCTGTGATGGGAGTTAGTGTGGATCAAGCTTGCTTTTGAGGTGACCAGTTCCTCCACTTTCAGACTGTGAACATATGTCCTAGTATACAGGAAATTTCTTGCTGTACTGGGGCTACAAGACACTCAGGAAAAATAACAGACCCTTCAACCCAGGTATCTTTTGGGTACTGTTGATAATGGTTTGAGGGTTCTTTATATTACTTCCTTGTGCAATTTTATTCCATTTTATTATTTAAACTTTGAGGTAGTGACAAAAAGGTCAGAGATGGTACAGAAGAGCTAGTGGTAAGAATAAAATTCCCATTAAGGTAAAGAGCAACAACCAGTAAAGCTGGCATAGAGATATGGAACAAAGCTCCTTGGAAATAAGTCATGTGAAACAAATCTGGTTTTTAAGCTGATCACAGTGGGTTTTGTTTCCTGGAATGGATTTTGCTCAGGGTTGTGACTGTATACAGGAAACCAGAGGTAAAATCTGATCAGAATGATGGTAAGAGAAGTGTCAGGCAAGTAGATCAGCTGGAGAATAGTTGTGTAGTTTAAAATAAGTTTAGAATAGTATATGTAGGAGACTCAGGAAAGCAGAATAGAAGTAGAGATAGTTTTGGCCTGAAGAACACCATTTGGCCAATACCCGTGAAAGGTACAGTACCAAAAGGCTTTAGGAAAGTAGATTTAGGACTTGGAGATGGTGGTCTGATGGTGAAGAATGAATTGGAAGGGGTTTGTTTTTAAATACGTCCTATTGGGCCTCTTGTTTCTTCTCTTGCTGTTCTCTAAATAACGGCTCTTTACTTAAATGGCAAAGTCGTGAACTGTTTGTTTAAGGCTTTGATGTTACGAATTGAGTAGTAGAAGCCCAGTAAAGGAGATGCTGGTGCCACAGGTTTGTTGCTGAGAGGGATGAGTAGGCAGTGTTGCTCTATGTAATTTGAGACTGATCCAACTGATTCTTCCCTACTGATTTCCTATTGCTGGCAGTAGGAAATATTCCTAAACATTCTCGTTTACAGAAAAAGGGGGTGTAAATGTGTTACATTTTGTTGCACCTTGTGAGTATGTTTCACCACAGGCTGTCCATTGGGCCAGGTAGAGAAATACTGAATGGTAACTGCATGGGAAGTGAAGAGGCTTGTCAGAGGAGGTAATAAATTTGAGTCTATCCTTCTTAATGGTTTGTGATCCTCTCACTGATTTGTGTGGGTATTAGCATAGACACAAGACACCTGTGTTAAGACAAGTTATTTGTTTAACAGAAAGCCTGTAAAAATAATTTGGACCTACCTATCCTCTTTGCATACATTTTTTTCCCCTCCAACCTAACATTCCTGGTCAAAATGAGAAGTTGTAGGGGAGGTTTTTCCATCTTGGAAATAGTACTGCTTTACCCGTGGGACTCCCTCAGTTCATTCTAGGGCTCTCTTGAACTGTGACAGCAGGAAGGGCTGCAACCTGAGAGGGCAGCAAACTCTGTTTGCTGTTGCAGGCGCGTAACACCCTCCTCCCCATCCTGCTATAGCACCCAGGAGCTGTGGGTATGGGAGTCTGCATTTCTTCCAACTCCTCTCTCAGGTTGTCCTCTCCTTTCTGTGCGGCCTCCCATGTGATAACTGGGTCAAGGCTTTACAGCAGCCCCCTCCCCGTTTTGCAGACTTCATCATGACTCAGAGGAATTGGGACGTTTCTTTCTGGGAGTAGAAACATACCAATTAAATTTTTAAAAAAGAACGAATATGTATATAAATATATATAAGAAAAAAAAAAGAAAAAGAAATGCAGGTATTTAAATGCCCTCGGTAAATTCATGCATGCATACAGTGTCTCCCCTCACCCCCACTCCTTTGGATGTGTAGCATCCAGGATACTGAATGACAAGAAACCTCATTAAAATGGTAGACAGGTCTTCTAGCAACCCCGGAGAGAGCAGGTGCTTCCTTCTGTGGGTAAGTGCAGCGTGTGCCATGTTTCAGGCGGCGCTGTGTGAGTGAGCGGGGGCAGGTGCGGCGGTGCTGGTGTGTGTCACCTGCCGTGGGCGCGGCGGGAGCCGAGTGGGGCAGCGGCCTTAGGAGCAAGCCATGTGCGCCCTCGACCAGGCAGGCACCTCCCCACCTGTGCTCTCCGACACTGCCCTTTTCCTTCACCCCTGTAAAAAACAAGACAAACAAACAAACAAAAATCCCTCATGCTTTATTTATAAATGTGTGGTTTTATACTTTTGGCTTTAGGTAAAATACTTTTTTTTTTTTAATTATTATGTGGAAAAAATAAAAATTCGTTTGTTCGGTTGTTTTTGTTTTGGTTTCTTTTTTTCTTTTTGTTTTTGCACTGTGAGGCTCCCCCGGGAGCAGTTTTTAACTCTGTATTCATTTGTACTCCGTGTCTTAAACTGTTTCAAATAAACACGTGACCATTTGTTACCGAGCTGCCAGACCCACTCGCCCGAGGTTCGTGTTCCGGGGGAAGGGGCGGGGAGAGATGGGATGGGGAAGGAGGGAGGGAGGGAGGGAGCGGGCGGCCCCTCCTCGTCCGGGGCCGGTGCGGGCATGGCGGAGGGCGCGGCGCTGCGGGCCGTGAGGGGCTGCCTGGCCGCTTTCCCGCGGGAGGCCCGCGGTGAGCGCCGGGCCTGCGGGGCGGGGGCGGGGGCGGGCCGGGAGGCCGCGGGTGGCCCCGCCTGTGACAGGCGCTGGTGCCGGGCCGGCCCCGCAGCGCTTCGGGGGCACAGCCCGCCCGCCTGTGGGGAGCAATGCGGGCATGAACTGGGGCGCCCGCTGTGCTCTCAGCCTCACGTTCTCTTCTCGAGGTGACGATACAGAAAGGCCGCAGGGAGAAAAACCAACCAAACAACTGAAACTCGAGAAAACGGCCCTTTTGGGTTGTTTTCTTACGTATAAAATAGCAAAACAAAGCACTATTCGAGCTTCCCCAAAACGATCCTGTGGTATCACCTCTGTATGGGAGGTGTACCTCCTGTAGCATATGCCTTTCATCCCCAGGGATGATGGCCTGAGTTTTCTGTCTGGCTCTGAAACCCCTCAACACCTTCTAGGTTTTAACAGAGAATTTCTGGATCCAGTGGGGGTACACTGCTTTCAGTTGAGTCCCTGTGGTGTGGGATTTGAAATAGTGTGCTAGCAGGAGGCACTTCTCCCAGGATGCTGAGTAACACTGTTTGTCGTTTACCTAGACAGAGCTGGGATGGCCGGAGTCTGTACCCTATCTTGATAGGCCTCCATCCCCTCTGGAGTTTTATCGAGAGTGGGTGAGTCCAAATAAACCTTGTATAATTCGCAATGCCATCAGCCACTGGCCAGCTCTGAAGAAATGGACCTCAGCATACCTCAGGTATGAACAAGCTTTGGAGCAGGACCGGTTGTCAATTTCAGCTGACTTCACTAAAAACCCTTTGTTAATCTTTGCTTTTATTTGCAAAGTTAGCTCAGGTTCCTCCCTGCTTCTGTATGAAGGTGTTCAGTCTTTCCAAGATCAGGTGTAAATTTATTCCTTGCAAACATACAACTCTAATAGTTCTGAGGCAGCCAGGTGGGTCAGTGTTTTGGCTGTGTGCAGCCAACAGGCTCAGGCTATTGGAACCCAGCTTGCTGGAGTGGGGCTGTAGCACTGTAAGGACAGACTGACTAGTTCATGATTGAGCAAACTATTAGTCAAAAAACCAAACAATGAACATTTTAACAATGAATGAATTTTTAAAGAAAAGTCCTTCTTTAAGGGGATTTATGTTTAGACCTAAAATCTGTGGGTTAGATTTAAATCTGTAGGTTTTTAAGCTAAATTTCTCATGGAACTAAAGGCTATCATGATGTGTGTATCTATCAGTTTCTGTCCACCCCTTCTCCCTGGTCAATTGCTTTTGAACATGTGAATCCTTGAACCCTTGGATTTGGTTGGTTTGAGTGGTCACAAGAATATCAAGCTCTGTCATGATTCATGAAAGGAAGCAGCTGAAGAGGGCCCTCTGCCTGCAGGGAGGAAAACAGCTCCTTTGTGAACTTGCCTGTTAGGAGAGAATTCGGACAGGAGCAATTGGAGCAGAATGCGAGAGTCCATACCAGACAGTAGAAAATGTAAACTGGAGACACCCATCCATGGAAAGACAGCCTTCCTATTTTTACTGCCCATGAAACATGTTGTTTTTAAAATAACCAGTATCTAATATATGGGTCAATTGCAGAGCAGGCTATAAACCTTTGATTTATTTTGCAGGGAGGTAGTAGGTCCCAAGGTGGTGAGTGTGGCAGTAACACCCAATGGTTATGCAGATGCAGTGTTTCAGGACCGTTTTGTCATGCCAGAGGAGCGCCAAATGCCTTTCATGGACTTTCTGGACATTGTGGAGAAGAAAGTGACCTCTTCCAACGTCTTCTATGTGCAGAAGCAGTGTTCAAACCTCACCAAGGAGTTCCCTGAACTTGTCAGTGATGTGCAGCCTGACATACCATGGATGAGTGAGGCACTTGGTAAACCCTCTATTTCTCCTGCATTCAGTAAATATTTGCTCCAGTAATTTGGAGCTTTAAAATAATCACACTAGGTACATCCTGAATTCTTGTTCTCTTTCTGAATGCCACAGTTCAGTTTGGTTTCATACCTAATAGAATAATCCAGGTTTTAGGGTTGGATTACTTTGCAATCAGTGTCTTGGTTGTGTATTGGGACCCTCACAACTGAAAAAAATGTGGTGATAGTGCCATATAGCACTTCTTTACATTGGGTGGCTTTTCTCTGATCTAGAGTCATGTTTTGGCTCAGTGCTCCCAGTGTAGAAGGAGGTTGCTGTTATTCACAGAATGCTATTTTCGATGGAACCTGTCACAGTTACAAAGGAAGTTACAGGACAGAATTTGGCAGAAAATTATTTGAAACACTTTTAAACATGACATAAATTCTTTTTTTGTTGTTGTTGTTGACAACGTTTCTATATTCATACAGGGAAGAAGCCTGATGCTGTGAATTTCTGGCTTGGGGAATCAGCTGCTGTGACATCTTGTACGTACCATATGGCACTGTAAGTCTTCTGCGTGTTTTCAGCATAGGTTGAAGAGGGCTCATTTTGAGTTAGTGGCTCAGGAGGACTGTGTGGTTTTTCTGACAAGGCAGTTCTGTTTTAGCACGCTTTTTTTTGCATTCTTTCTTCTGCTCTTCTGTGACCTCTTGCTACTGTGTCTCTGGGTGCATCTACTTAGCATTATGTCAGGCAAAGGCACTGACAATTTATTTCATCGAATGCGTTTGCTACAATATGATGTTGTTACTTTCCCACCGACTACAAGAGGAGGAAGCAGCCTGATGATAATAGGACAAGCTGACATTTTCAATTGACTATAGTTTCTGGTGCAGAGAAGGAAATAGCACTGATTTTCTCTTTCTCCACATTTTTTTTTCCTCAATCCTAGTACATAAAGATCATTATGAGAACTTGTACTGTGTGATATCTGGAGAGAAATATTTTCTACTGCATCCACCAAGTGACCGTCCCTTCATCCCATATGGTACATCATTTTACTATGCAATATGTCTGGAAGTTGGAAGGAGGAGAGACTAAAACATAGGAAGATAAGAAAAAAAAGGAAGCAGAGATAACATTTTGAGGTTTATGCAGTATTATACTTTCCACTGTAAACAGAAACCTCTTCTATTTCATGCTGCTGGTGGTTTGTAATACAAATGTTATTATGAGGTCAGGTTTTCCAGTCCAGTGAAGTTTTAGGCTCATTGATATGCACCTTGAGTACTGTCCAGCTCTGGGCCCCTCAATTCAGGAAGGACATTAAGATGCTGGAGTGAGTCCAGGGAAGGATAGATTTGTTGGGCATCTAGAGGGTAAGTCCTATGAGGGGCAGCTGAGGGAGCTGGGGTTGTTTAGCCTGGAGAAAAGGAGGCCCAGGGGAGACCTTATCACTCTCTACAACTACCTGAAAGGAAGTTGTAGCCTGAGGCAGGGTGTTGGCCTCTTCTCCCAGGCAACTAGAGATAGGGTGAGAGAACATAGCCTCAAGGTGTGTGGGGAGATTTAGGTTGGATATTAGGAGGAATTTCTTCACAGAAATGGTGATTGAACACTGGAATGGGCTGCCCAGGGATGTAGTGGAATCATCCTCCCCAAGGTGTTTAAGGAAAGATTGGACGTGGCACTCAGTGCCATGGTCTAGCTGACATGGTGGTGTTTGGTCATGGGTTGGACTGGATGATCTCAGAGGTCTTTTCCAGCTTACTTGATTCTGTGATACTCATGGCATTCTCTTCAGCTTTTGAGTATTTAAATTATTCAAGTATCTTGTCAGTATTATAGCACGTCATCTTTAATATTTTACAGATTTGGATTCTGCTTGCTTATTCATTTCTTTTGGAAAAAAACCCAGGAAGGTTAAAAATAAGTTGTAGTTTAATTAAATATTCAAGTTACTAACTGAATATCTGAAAACTGGAGAAATGAACAAAGAGATTCTTATTGGCAGCATTGCCTGTTTTCTGTTTCTTCAAGTTGTTTTCCTATGTGCACAGCAGTAGTTTTCTTTGTTGCAGCACCATCTAGAAGATGGACAGCTTAACTTTATGCCTCATAAAATAAGGTTTTATTTTTCCCATTTCTTGACTTTCAAACCATCAGGTTAAGTGAATGCGAGGTGCAGTATGACACACATGTAATATTGCCTAGATATGTGAGCTGCTACAGTATTTTATTTATACGGCTTTTATTTTGTTTACAACCTTGATATCATAGAATTGGATAATGGTTTGGGTTGAAAGGGACCTTGAAAATCATTGAGTCAATTCCTCTGCCATTCAGTAGACCAGATTGCTCAAAGCTCCATCCAGCCTGACCTTGAACACTTCCAGTGATGGTACATCCACAACTTCTCTGGGTAACCTGTTCCAGTGCCTCATGACCCTCATTGTAAAAAATGTCTTCCTTATATCCAGTTTAATTCTAAACTGTCTCAGTATGAAACCATTGACCTTTGTCCTGTCTCTGCAGGCCTCGGTGAAAGCCTTTCTCTGTCTTTCATATAAGCCCCCTTTAGGTACTGGAAGGCTGCAATAAGGTTCTCCCAGCACCTTCCCTTCTCTAGACTGAACAACCCCAAGTCTCTCAGCCTTTCTTTGTAGGAGAGGTGGTATTGTCTGTATGTGAATGTATGAAATACTTGTGTGTGATACAAATCATACTTTGTAAAACAAAACAGTAACTTTAACAAGTTACTGTTAAAGCATAAAACAGACATAATACTTACATTTCATAGTGTGCAGTAAAAAGACAATTCCATCTTTTTGAGCATCAGGTTAATTAATGAAGAGAAACTCTCTCAAGGAGGGCTTAGAAAACCATATGCTTAAAGAAAAGCAGCCAGCAGTTTCTGAAGCAGTTGATGAGACCCATCAATTAAAATTAGAAGTGAAACGCTGACCATGAGTCACAAATAACCCTTGTGAGTGCTTCCTTGCTAGACTGACCTAAGAAAAAACACCTGAGTATAGAATGATGTGTAAGTCAGGGAAGCATTTATGACTTCTGAAAGGGAAAGAAGGCAATTCCTGCAAAGAAAGAAGATTGGAATTCCAAACAGGAAGGCAGCTTAGTATTCAGACTGACTTAAAAAAAATTATTACGAACTGTATAAAATTTGAAATGGACAAAGGGAAGGGTAGTGAGTGCAGTAAGTTGAAAAAGGTTTTGTCTTAATTTTTTTTTTTACTTGGTGGAAGTGTGACGTACCATTATTTTCTCTGAGTTGTGTCATTTAGTTCTTTCTCTGGTTCCAGAGCTCTATCAGCCAGCAACCTACCAGGTATCAGAAGACGGCTCGTTTGAAATTGTGGATGAGAAGACTGCAGATAAGGTAAAAAGTTTATAAAGAACATAATCAATATAGTAGAGTTTTAGGCACTGCTGAGCCCTCAAACTGAGCATGTTGATTGATATTTAGAAATTCTTTATTACTAGGAAGAGAATGCCCAGACATTTTAGTTGTATTTTACTATTTGCAAAGGATACCCAACTTACAGAAAAGATTTTTACTGAACACTTGAAACCATTGATGTCATAAACTGTCTTCCGTGCACCAGACTTACAGTTCCAGTTTTAAATGCATCAACAATAAATGAATTGATTGCATTCAGACTGAAATAGACCCCTCTACATTCACTGTCTTTTGACCTCTGCTCAGTTCTACATTTTGCTCTGCAGTGGTATCACCCAGTGCAATAAAACATATCTGTCTCAATGAATAAATTGTGTTTTCTTAGTTGTAGCACTGTTTGTTTGATTAAAATGTTTAGATCTCGAGGCACTTCACAAAACCTCATTAGAATCTAATCTCTTAACTTTTACCTCTGCAATGTGTGAGTAATGTTACAACAGAACTTGAGCTGGGGTTTGTTCTCCATTTCCAGAGTGGCACTCATGGAATGTCATTCCTGTAACACATTAAATTGGAATGCTGAGGTTTATAATTTTCTAGGGCATAGAAGAAATTAGTGCAGGCAAGAGGGATTTTACAGCAAGAAGAGGTGTTTTAGCTGCTGGGAATAAAAATTAGCTTAAGAAGAAAAGAGGAATTTATAAAAAGACTGGTGCAGATAAAGTATATAAATACTGAATGTAGGAGGAACGAGTGACTTAAGGGGCTGGTGGTGTTCTGAAAGTATACTACGGGACTGATCTGTTCCAAATTACATGTGGGAAACTGTTTAGCTGTGCATGTTTTGCTAGATAAAGTACATGTTTTTAACCTAGTAAGTTTGACTATCAGTTGATTTTCTGGAATCTTGCTGGAATTTTTTGCCAGGGTCAGTACCATATACACATTCTTTTGTCTTCAGGTGCCCTGGATCCCTCTGGATCCCTTGAACCCCAATCTGGAACTGTATCCAGAGTATGCTCAGGCACAGCCTTTGCAGTGTACAGTGAAAGCTGGTGAGATGTTATATCTGCCTTCTCTCTGGTTCCATCATGTTCAGCAATCACATGGCTGTATAGCAGGTAAAAGACACAGTATTTCCAGATGCATTTGTGAACTGTGGTGGGTGTGCAGCTAGATATAGAATCATAGAATCATAGAATAGATTGGGTTGGAAAAGACCTCCAAGATCATCAAGTCCAACCCCTGATCCAACTCTAATTACTATATCATGGCACTAAGGGCCATGTCCAATCTCTTTTTAAAAACTTCCAGGGATGGTGAATCCACCACCTCTCTGGGCAGGCCGTTCCAATGCCTGATCACCCTCTCTGTAAAGAATTTCTTCCTAACATCTAACCTAAACTTCCCCTGGCAGAGCTTGAGCCCATGTCCCCTTGTCCTGTTGTTGGTTGCCTGGGAGAAGAGACCAACCCCCACCTGGCTATAACTTCCCTTCAGGTAGTTGAAGAGAGTGATGAGGTCACCTCTAAGCCTTCTCTCTCTAGACTAAACAATCCCAGCTCCCTCAGCCTCTCCTCATAGGACTTGTGCTCAAGTCCCTTCACCAGCCTGGTTGCTCTTCTCTGGACCCGCTCCAGCACCTCAATATCCTTCCTGAACTGAGGGGCCCAGAGCTGAACACAATACTCAAGGTGCGGCCTCACCAACGCAGAGTACAGGGGAAGGATCACTTCCCTGCTCCTGCTGGCCACACTGTTCTTGATGCAGGCCAGGATGCCATTGGCCTTCTTGGCCACCTGGGCACACTGCTGGCTCATGTTCAGCCTCCTGTCAATCCAGACCCCCAGGTCCCTTTCCACCTGGCTGCTCTCCAGCCACTCTGTGCCCAGCCTGTAGCGCTGCAGGGTTGTTGTGGCCAAAGTGCAGGACCCGGCACTTGGCCTTGTTGAACTTCATCCCATTGGAGTCAGCCCAACTCTCCAGTCTATCCAGGTCCCTCTGCAGAGCCCTCCTGCCTTCTGGTAGGTTGACACTCCCTCCCAACTTGGTGTCATCAGCAAATTTGCTGATGATGGACTCAATCCCTCATCTAGGTCATCGATAAAGATGTTAAACAGGACTGGGCCCAGCACTGATCCCTGGGGGACACCACTGGTGACCGGCTGCCAGCTGGATGCAGCCCCGTTCACCAGCACTCTCTGGGCCCGGCCCTCCAACCAGTTCCTAACCCAGCACAGAGTGCCCCTGTCCAAGCCATGGGCTGCCAGCTTTTCCAGGAGTATATTATGGGAGACAGTGTCAAAGGCTTTGCTGAAGTCCAGATAGACCACATCCACAGCCTTCCCCTCGTCCACCAGGTGAGTCACCTGATCGTAAAAGGAGATCAGGTTGGTCAAGCAGGATCTGCCCCTCCTAAACCCGTGCTGGCTGGGTCTGATTCCTTGTCCATCTTGTAGGTGCTGTGTGATTGCACACAGGATGATCTGTTCCATAACTCTGCCAGGCACCGAGGTCAGGCTGACAGGCCTGTAGTTACCAGGGTCAGCCTTGCAGCCTTTTTTTATGGATTGGGGTGATATTTGCCAACTTCCAATCATGTGGGACCTCCCCAGTGAGCCAGGACTGTTGGAAGATAATGGAGAGCGGCTTGGCAAGCTCTTCTGCCAGCTCCTCATTACCCTAGGATGGATCCCATCTGGTCCCATAGACTTGTGAGGATCCAGGTGGCTCAGTAAGTCACTAACTATTTCCTCCTGGAATACAGGGGGGCTATTTGGTTTCCTCTCTCTGTCTACCAGCTCCAGAGGCCAGTTGTCTTGAGGGCCACCTGTCTTACTGGTAAAAACTGAGGCAAAGTAGGTGTTAAGTACCTCAGCCTTCTCCTCATCTCTATTAACTATGTTTCCCTCCGAGTCCATCAAAGAATGGAGGTTTTCTTTGCCCCTCCTTTTGTTATTAATGTATTTATAGAAGCACTTTTTATTATCCCACAGGAAAGCATCAGTGGGACCAAAGGTCCCTTTCAAGTTATCTACCTTTCTGCAGGTTGAGATAACAATCTTGGCAGATCCCATGGGGCTGCCTCCTTGCAGCCTGTTTTGTGTATAATTGGTAGCTTGGTTGACAAGTGGTTGGGATGTAGCAGAAGACAAAGTTTTTCTAGTTGTCAGGTCTGGAGAAGGATAGCTAATGCAGTGATCACGATCAGTTTCTGCTTAAGACATGGAGTAAGCAGTTTGTCTGTCTAGCCTGCTAGCTGTGAATGGTCATCTACATATGTTTTGCAAAGAAACTGCATGTTGCATGTGCCATTATCACATGGGAAAAAAGCCTCAAACCCTGGAGAAAGAAAAGGAAACCAGAAAGTGAATGACTTTTAGGCATGGATGTGGACACAATAGGAAAGATATCCTGTTTTCATGTGAGCTGAAATGCTCTGACCCAGTCTCTTTCCTTGCTAATAAGCCTGTGTTTGTTATTGTTCCCCTGCATTTACCAAAAGTCTTGTTGTCTCTTTATTTGTAGGATTTATCATCACCTCTCTATCTCTTTTTTTTTGTTTGTTTTTCCTTCCCCAAGAGAGTTCCAGAATTTCAAACGTTGCTCATTTGGTGCAGGTGGAGTGGTGGGGATAGTACAAAGTATTATTGTCACATCCCTAAAGTTTTGCAAGGTTTGAGGGAGAGATTTTTGCTGTGCTTTACCTGGAATAATGCTGTCTGTCAAGAAAAAATACTTTGAACAACACATCATTAGTATTAGTGTAACACTGCAAATATTGCAAGCCCTTTTTGTCAGTACTTGTGATTCTGTGATAAAAAGACAAGTCACCGGTAGAGCAGTATTTCTGATTCTCTTTCCCCAGCGCTGTTGCATCAGTCCTCTAAAAAAATCAGATGTTTTAGAAGAAGTAGTGTTGTTTCCAGCTGCAAGCCCCTGGCCACTCTTTTTTTCTCCATTTAGAAGAAATGCAAAAGAGTTTGAGTTTATTTGGCCTTTAGTCTGTTAACTGCAGTACAGTCTGTACACACTTGAAAAATCAATATTCTCTGGGTTTCGGTCCACTGAATGTCTGAAGCTAGAGTATATCTTCCTCCAAGAAGCGTTGATACAATATTACAGTGCTTGGCTTAATTTTTCTAGGAGACATACACCAAAATTAACACAGGAAGCAGAACTAAAGCACTGTCTAATTGATGGCCATTGTGAAGTAGTGGTGAATTTGCCATCCTTTATACAGGAAGAAGGGTTCCTATCCAGATATTAAACTTTGTGGTTTGATATTTTTTGTATAAACAGAACCATGTTTTCTGTTCCTAAACATTTTACCAACTTCTGCTTCAAGGAATCTCCAATATAGAGTATGAAGAGGAATGGTTTTGGACTAAGAAAGAGTTGCACTGGCAGCACTATTAAAGAACACCATTGTTTGCTTATGTTATTTTTGGCTGTAGTCAAAGATTTGCTAATTCCAAAGTTCATTCAGAAATGACGAAAAACCTGTGCTAACTGAACTGTGTAAAAGTCTATGAACATTTGTAAATCATTACATTCTAGCCTTAGAAATGTTCTTCCCTTTTCTTGTCTCCTCAGTGAATTATTGGTATGACATGGAATATGACCTTAAGTACAGCTATTATCAACTACTAGATGGTCTCACAAAAGCTGTGAAAACGCTATAGCAGAGATGGGAGACTCAAGCTTGTGATCTGTCTTTCTGATGCGATACAATCGTCAGCATCTTGTGACTGGAGTATGAACATGACTCACACAAAAAGAACTGAACATTAAATTATCATCAACAATGCCTGTGAAACAGATCATGGCTACTTTGCTTGATTTCAGATTTTTTGGCTTGTAAGGAGGAGGTTTGATAACAGCATTTTTAGGCCTTTGCATGTTGCCTCAGTGATGGTGAGCAAAATAGAACTTGAAGGGAGGCAATCCAGGTTTTGAAAAACCCCAAAACAGAAGCCCTGACTGTTCAGATCTACACACTGATTTCATAACAACCCAAGTAGGCAAGGAAGGATCTGCTCTGCCACTCACCTGTGCTTCAGGCTGCATCTGTCCAACACATGCATTCTGTTTAAGGCAAAAGTTCTGCACAATTGTAATTCACCAACTTCAGTGGCTCTGGTGTTTTAATGGTGAGAAACTACAACTTCTGGAATAAATAGGTCAGTTCAAATGTTTCTTTCTGTACTGTTTTTTTGTCCCAAGTGATATGATGGCTGAAGGACATCTAGGAGGTCATGCAAAACTCAATGGCTATTTTCCATGTTAAGCTACATATTTTAATTGATGTTTTTTATTTCTTTCCACTGTTGTATTTAAATGTAACTGCATTCTCTTTCATCCTGAGGGGTCATTTTAGAGTTACCTTGCCAGATCTACAGTCCATCTCCATATTATCTGTGGTCTTGTGGCATAATGTGTGATTCTGCAGGCTCATTCTGCGCCAATAATTGCTGCCTGACACATGGTCAGGCAAGATGTGTGAACCAGGAGCCTTTTTCTGCAGCCTCAATTCCCATTTGTATTCCATGGAAGGGGTTGAGACTACTCATGTCTGAGACCCAGAGGGTAGGACTAGAAGGCTATTAAATACACAAACATTGCAAAAGTATAATATAAATAATAGTAAAAACCCCAAAAGATAGTGTTTATAGTCAAATCTTCAAACAACTCCTTAAAAACATTAGCAGTATGGGGGTAATTTATTTTCCATGTATTAATTAAGAAAATACAGATACCCTTTAGATAAGATTGATTGTAAAGAGAAATGCAGGGGTTTTTTTACTTTGTCTGTTTCTTTTGCTTTTTAAAGAAACATAGCATAAAATTTCATTTTATCATGGGATGCTTGTCCAAAAATTGCTGAAAGCTCAAGAGGAATTAAAAGCAGGCTTTGTTTCACGGCTAAATTAAGATATCACGTTACTTCAGACTTCCCAGCTTGTTTGTGTTTATTGTGCCTCGGCAAAGGTGCCCAGGCCAGTTCTGCAGTCAAATCTGGAATTTCCTGCAGTCGGGGCGGAAAGGCAGTTTGAATATCTTTTTGCTACTTTGAGGATTTTTTAATTTAGTCTCTTTCTCTAATCAAAAGTTAAAGCACACGCTAAGAAGTGACAGCCTGTGTCTGTGCAAGTGGACGGTGTCACTGTGCCACCTCTCTGCCGGAGTGCCTGGAGAGAGGCGTGCTCTGAACTACGGCTCCCAGCAGCCCGCGCTGGCCGACTGAAGGAAGTGGTCACGGTGGTTCCTCCTGGACTTTGGGCAGGGATTTTAAGCCTGAGAGGCGGCGGTCTGCTGGCGGTGCTGCCTCACGCAGTTTCACGCGACCCGTGTCTCGCCCCAAAAAAGGTCCGCTGGGATGGCGGTGCAGGTGATGGTCCTGCCTTCCCCCAGGTGTCTGTTCGATGACCCTGTGCAGATCCGTGTGGTGGGTCTCCAGCCGCAGCAGGCGGTCACCCTTCGAGCGAGCCTGGTGGATGAGAGCGGGGAGCTTTTCCAAGCCCACGCTCACTACAGAGCTGGGAGCAGCGGAGAGCTCGACCTCAGCTGCTCCCCAGCCCTGGGGGGCAGCTACTTGGGAGTGGAGCCGATGGGACTGCTGTGGTCTCTGCAGTCTAAAACGCCCTATAAGCGGCTAGCAAAGAGGAATGTCCTGACCCCTTTCTGTGTGGACTTGGAAGTGTATGAGGGCCATGGGGACATGAGCCGCTTGCTGGGAAAATGTGCCAACGAACGATGGTTTTTAGGAGAGGGGGTGAAGAGGATTTCAGTCAGAGAAGGTCGTCTGAAAGCAACCCTCTTCCTCCCTCCTGGTGAGTTTTAATTCCATTCTGGTTTAGCAGGTGTGACTTACACAACATATTATGCCCCGTGTCCCCTGGATGCACTCAGCAACTCAGAGCAAAGCCTCAGCTAACGATTCCCTCAGCCTGTGTTTGGTCCAGATACTTGGATCCTCACAGCAGAGCAGGGAGGAGCAGGACCAGTCGGGTCAGTGGCTGAGGAGGGAGTGCGGTGGTGCAGGGAGGGCAGCAGTGGTAGCACAAGGTGTCTCCTGGTTCTTTTAGTTGAGGCAGGTCAGGACCTCTCCTGCAGTGAGAGCCCTGGCAAAAACTGTGTTTATTTCTTAGCTGTTCTGTTTAGCTGACAGGACAGAGAGGCCCCTGGGCTTTGGCAGAGCTGCGATACATGACAGCTCTGGCTGTGATGTGAAGAATGATGAGGCATGGTGGGAGCACTGGACTCAGGCTGCAGCCAGCCTAGGCTGCTCCAGCAGCTGCCACACATCTTCCTGCAGGATCTGGGCTTGCCTGTCTGTCTCTCTCTTTAGCTTAGGAAAAGCCAAAGCAAAAAGGCTCTACCTGGTTGAGCAGCTGATCTGCAAGGGATATTTAGGAAGATGGGAGGCAAATGGAAAAATCAAGGTCTTAATTAAACTGGTACCATATTCCACAACTTCATACTGAGACAGTGCTGAGGCTGGATCCTGTGCAAAGCTGCTTTGAGCAATGAAGTGTTTCAGTTCCTTGAGCAGAACTTAAACATGACTATCTTGCTCTAATTAATGAATAGTTCCTTACAGCAGCTGAAACATCAAAGCTTGTATGGGAAGTCTGGCTATAAGAATGAGCAGAGCAGCATCAGGAAAGGAAGGTGCTATTGCTGCAGGAGGAGAGCTGAGAAGCCCAGGGGTAGTTACCTATATCATACTGAAGGCTGAACTGGCATAGATCAGTGCTGGTGTTTGTGAGTATATTTCATAACCCAAGTGTCCCCTCCCTGGCAAACCCAGCACAGTTCCTAAAGAAGTGCTGCTCATGCAATAATACTGTTTATTTATTGATCTCCAATGGCCCGAAAACATCTAGGCCAATGTCAGCAAAATTCATGATGGGAGAAGGATGTCCAACCTATGACTTCCTATAATGAGTTTCTAAGAGAGAGAAGAAATATCCAAATTCATGTCCTTATGGTGATTTTGTGTGTGCCTGAGAACAACAGCCACTTCAAAAAGCTTCAGAGGATGGTTTTCTTCTGATATCTGTTGATGTGTGCTGGAAGGGCACCACTGAAATGACAACTGTAGGAACTTTTCTCTTTGCTGGTACACTTTGCTATACATTCTCCTTTGTTGCAGGACCTGGCCCATTCCCTGGACTTGTTGATTTGTATGGATCTGGAGGAGGTCTTGTTGAATACAGAGCAAGTCTCCTGGCTAGCAGAGGCTTTGTGACCCTGGCTGTTGCTTACATGGCCTTTGAAGATATCCCTACTACTCCAGAGGTTCTTGAACTGGGCTATTTTGAGGAAGCTGTGAACTTTTTGCGGAAGCAGCAGCAGGTAAGAGACAAAGTATGGTGCTCTTCCTGTTGGAAACTATTTTGCAGTTTTCTAATTGGAATATGTATATCACTGAATGCAACTAAGTTTCTGAAACGTTAGAAGGAAACAACAGTGTCTGAAAGACAATGTGATCTTGAGAGATGGAAAAGCATGTGCTTCACCTCGAATTTTGCAAGTAGCTGGGTAGCTGGTTTTGCACAGCATCTTGTAACAGTCCATAATATGCTGGCAAATTTGTGAAAGATTAAATCAAAGCAGTTCCTGGACTAGAAGTACAAAACTGCTTAAGCAGTAAATCTTATTTTTTCCCAACTTTTGCATCTTTCAAGATTTTAGAGGGGAAAACAATCCATTGATTATATTACAGGCTTTTGATTCTGTTTCACAAGAAGTGTCCTTCTAAAGTTTCAAAAGAGAATAGCAGGAAACTTTAACAAAAGAATTCCTTACAGTTGTGGCACTGGAGGGTGTGACACATCTTAAACTGAGGCTGTGTTTCAAAAAGTGTGTAGGATGAAAAAGACACTTAATAGCAATGTATCATCATACTGAACTCAAAAGTGACCAAGAGATACTGAGTAACATTTAAAATTTTAATGGAGTGCTGCTTAAAGAGGTATTAATTTCACTAAGTTATTTACTTTCTAGAACATGGACACCAGGATTGTAACCAGTGTGAGAGCAGAATTCAACCTTGCTTGTCTTCTTTCTCATAGAGCTCTGAAACGTCTAGAATTTGATATGAAGGGTCACTGAGCCTCAGGTGTAATGAACTTCTAAGGCAAAACAGAAAATAACAGGTCAGCTGTAGGAGAGTATTAAAAAATTGTGAATAAAGAAATTTGATGTAAGTAAACCCATTAAAAAGTGGTTTGGAGATAGGAACAGTAAAAGATTCCATACCGAGACTGGATGTCTAGCCAGGATGTGGAGGGAGTAAAGAGGCTTTGTTTGTAGAGGTCACCAGGAAGGACAAGTGTTACAGGAGGAGAGATGTTGAAGAGCTGTGGAATTCATAGTCACTCTTGCAGAGCCTCAGCAGAGGGATAGATGAAGGATTGATATAACCTGAACAGAGAGAGCGAAGGGGCAATATACAGGTGGTCTTAGATGGATGAGTGAGAAAGCAGAACATTATGTCAGCTCAGGAAATAAGGAGTAGTTGATAATGTTGTTTTCATAACTCTGTTTCAGGTGAAAGATACTGGGATTGGTGTTTTGGGCTTGTCTAAAGGAGCTGATCTAGCCCTTTCCATGGCCACATTTCTACCTGGCATCAAGGCAGCTGTCAGCATATCTGGAAGTTGTTTTAATTCCTTCATTCCACTGAAGGGGAATGGCTTCACTATTCCTCCCCACCCATATAATCTGGAGAGGATGAAAATCAGTGATGACTCTGGCCTAGTAGATTTTTCAGATGTCTTAGATGATCACAGGGACCCAGCAACTTGGGATTGTCGCATTCCAGTGGAGAGGTCCTTAGCCAAGTTCCTGTTCTTGTCTGGACTGGATGACACAAACTGGAAAAGTGACCTGTATTGCCAGGATGCTGTTCAGCGCCTTCAGCACTTTGGACGGGAAGTGGAGTTTTACTCCTATTCTGGAGCAGGGCACCTCTTGGAACCACCATACTTGCCTCTGTGCCGGGCTTCAATCCACAGAGTGCTTGGGATGTTTGTGTCTTGGGGAGGGCAGTGGAGGGAGCATGCTAAAGCCCAAGAAGATGCATGGCGCAGGATACAGGCCTTTTTCTGGCAGCATTTAATGGACTCAGACATCCCTAAGAGCAAGCTATAGTGGAAGTTGTCAAAGATGCTGGGGTTGATATTTCAGTACTCACTAAATCTTGGAAACTCATCAAAAGTTTCCTGGACTGCCTTTCTCTAAATCCCACTGTTACATCACTGTTTATTTTCTTTCTCCTAATAGTTTTCCATTTTTTAGTTGAATTTCGGCTGACTTCTGGCCACAGCTTCACTGTATCTTGGCACCGTCTGGTCTGCCTGTGTGCTGCAGTCTGACCTAGCATCCCGTCATGTAGATTGCATTTGTAATGAGCTATTTTTACCCTCGATCTGCAGCCGTCTCCTTCCATAAGAGGGAATACTCTCACAGGAGGAGTTTTCCACTGAATTATTTAGGAATATTATTTCTATAGGAAACTACCATTAAAAATAAGAATACTTTCCATCAGCAAATCAACAATGAGGTGACTGATGCTTTCATACAGTTGTTACATTGTCACATTCAGCAATCAGGTACGAGGAAAACTGTGTTGAAACTAGAGGATGAAGGGAGCTGACTGGTGACTCCATCGACAATGATGGCACATGGGATTTCTTTGGTTTTTTGCTCTGGAATGAAAGCTTTGCTACCCAGTTAAAAGCCCTTTGTCATTTGGATGGCAGCTGCCAAGAAAGACTGAAAAAGCTGATTTAGCTGAACAGCTCTGTGCAGAAAATATTCCAGCCAATTCACTTTCACTGAGAATATTTTTAAAATGAAACTCAGATTTGAAACTTGTCTTCAGGAAACAGAAACTAGACGCAGACTAATATGAAATAACTGGAAATGTCTTAATTTCAATAAAGTGCTTCTTTCTGTTCTTGAGCATGTTTTTAAGTATTTTGCCGAAGATGTTGATATTTAATGTTTCTTCTGCTGAAGAGATGATTTAGACAAATAGGGCTATAAGGCTAAGATCACATTTTTTTTCCAAGTTAATAGCAAAAATTCTACTAATTGCAGCCTGTTGAATCAGAGTAATTTATATAGTTTCTCCAGGCCTACTGAATACAGACAACATTATTCAAGAGCAATGCAAATTATTTAATTAAAGATAATAGACCTTTAGCTGCAAGAGATCCTCTGCCAAGCACAACTGATAAAACTAATAAAAATTGGATGGGAAAAGCTGTTCTTGTAATCTGCTTGTGATAAAATAGAGCATCAGATAACATGAATGTAATGTAACATGAATGGCTTCTTACTCAGGTGAAGCGGTGTCTCTGGATGGCTTCTACAAGCAAGGTTGTTTCACAGCCATGGGACAGAAGGGATGAAGTGAGAGATGAGAACATACGTTGTGCGGTGTAATTTAGAGGCAACTTCTCCATTTCTTTTTTCTGTTTCCTGTGTGTGTTTGGAATTCTAAATATTTAGATGTTTGTTTTGTTTTTTTTTTATAAATTCAATACTTAGTAATTTCTCTAATATGTTACCAGATAATTTGTTATCAAGCTGAGGGATAAGACCAATGTTTAAGGTCAAAATACAAATAGTAAAGATTTTTTTGGTATCAGTATTTTTCTAAGAAATTTATAATTCTACCCTTTCAGAAAAAAAAATCACTATTCTCTACTTTTTAGTGCTCCATATACATTATTCAAAAATGGAATCTGAGCCAAATGTAGTATTAAGCACAGATAAAGTGATACTTTGTGTTTGGCAAGAAGGAAGATTAATAATTCGAATGAACTAATGCTCCTTGCAGCATTTACTGCAAAATATCCCTGCTATTTTACATTGTCCAGGAGAAAAACTAGAAATGCTGAAAAAGTCTTAAAAAAATTGTCCAAGCAAAATTGACATTAAACCTAAAAATTTCTGGACCCTGACTCTAGATAGCACTTAAAAAAATAATTAAATTAGTTACATTCTATTTATTTAGGATTATATCTTTTCAGTTGGAGCCCCTGCTGGTCTAGTGGTAAAGGCGCCGCGCTATCACCGCGGAGACCCGGGTTCGATTCCCGGTCAGGGCCACTCCCGGGCAGGTGGGGCTCGTTAGCCCTTAAAGGCAACCCACCTACGTCCTAAGGACCTCGCTGCCACCGTCCAAGCTCGCTTGGCCCCGGCAGATGAACCTTAGGATTAAAGGGTGGGCTCAGTTCCGCGCACACTGTGTCTCACCTAAAAAATCCAATGCGCAGGCTGGAAGGTGGAAAGACCTTCCCCGGATCTTCGCTCGCGAAGACTGGCCATTATATCTTTTCAGTGACTTCAGCTACTGAACTTTCAACATATTGCGTTTAGACTGTAAATATATTTTTGCATTAATGTCACTTCAGTGAAAGGTGTTGTTTTATACTTTTCTTGACTGTTTTAAGAATACCTTTCTGCACAGAGGGACACTCATGCCTTTTTTCCCGATCTAACTGGGAAGTAATCCTGTGGAAAAAACCAAAACACAAAATATTAAAATGTTCAGCTAGATCAAAGAAGGAAAGAGCAGGAATGAGCATGGGGTTATCAGGAGAAGCAGGGGTGAGTAATTCTGTGCCAAGCCAAGGTAATTGAGAAACTAGCAGAGTTTTTATTTACGTTTGTAATAACTAATCCACCTGATTCTAAATTGTGAGCCATTTCTGTATACAGTGAAGTGAATGGTTGGTGGCTCGTTGTGTGCTGCCCCCATTTACAGTGGATCTGGTCCTGAAGGAGTAAGGTGTTCATCAGTGGAGAGAAGATTGTGAAATGTGAATGTCAGATAGGAGACAAGCTGGATAGACGTTTCAAGGGAGATGTCCTGCATAGGAACAGAGCATTTGCATAACTCTACCTTCAACTAGAAGAGAAATTTCAAATGCACTGGTATCATTTTAATATGCTATGAATTCAGAAAGATAGTTTTGAATCAATAAGCCTGTGCCATCTGCAAGACACTATCCCTGGATAGTGTCATTCTCAAATATCAAGCACTAACTCAAAATGAATTAATTTTTCTGGTGTAGGTGCTGGCTGCAAAGTGCTTTGGCTCCAGCCATTCTCCCATATCTGGATCATTTCAGAGAAGAGATACATGTTGTCTTGATGCAGGAAGACTACTTTGATATCTAACAGCATCATTACTGTTGTAGTGGGAGAGAAAGAAATCAGTAGTCTGTACTTTTTGGTGGAAATATCATATCCAATTGCTGAAACAGCCCAACAATTACTGCTTCAATGCCAGTCTATATACAACTCCCTGTAAAGCTGAGACTTCCTAGGCTCTATTTAGACAGCAATGTACAGGGGCAACTATGTTCTTTCAAGCCTTCCAGGAATTTTGTTCTTGCTGTGGCCATCTTCCCTCATCTGAGGGTGTAATGTCTGCTTTCTCTTTTTTTCTCTATCTTTGACAGTTTTGCTCCCATCTCACTGACCATGACCCAGGCTATTCCAATTCCAGGGCACTTTGCATGATCTGCTGATGGAGGGAGAGCACCCTCAGCAATATGTAAGGCCAAGACCAGAAGGGTATATGGTAACACTGGCAATGAGGAGCCATGAATGCTTTGACTGGTGAAGACTAGGAATATTATGTTTTCCATTGAAAAATTGCCTCAAACTGGTCTTGTTTCTGGCAAGCTACCTTTAGGTAGGCCAGAAGGACAACTTTGCACTGAGAATGAGACCTGTTCAGTATATTTATAGTGGCTAATGACCGTATGCAGCATGTGTTGTATGTGATCAGGAACACTAGAAAGTGCACCATGTGTGGCACCTCAGCAGCAAAAAATGAGGTTTGGAGAGTGATAGGCTATTTGGATGGGTCATTCAGTCTGTACTAGTGGTTAACCTGAAGTAGTTTTTGTTAGTTTAAATATTGACCTAGTAGAGTGTTTAGTTTTCAAGAATTATGCCAAGGAGACCTTGAGGTGGCAGTTGTTTTCACGTTGTTCATTTCTGGTTGAGATTGCTGTTACCAAAAGGATGGTATGGGACAGTTTTGGTTGTGCTTGATTAAAAGTAACATCTGCAGTAATCAGCTAGTTTGACTATGTCTGAGTGTAAGGGAACTGGTGGTCACAGAGCAGCCAAGTCTGGGTACAGAGCCAAGGGTTGGCTAAATAACCAACCATTATGACTGAGCAGGAGCGAAGCACTGGGAAAATCCATTAGTATCACACTAGCAGAACTTGGGTATCTGTAGATACCATTCTTGTTCAAATCCAGCCTGCTCAACCTCCAATTTCTGGTGAGAGAACTTGCAAAATGGGAGACATCTGTGATGTGGATGTTACCTCCCTGTGTGACATCAGATATATACACAGATGACTGTGAAATTTGTACATAGTGATGTATGTAAATGATACCATTTGTCTTGGAGCAAGATGAAAGGAAAAATCTTTCAATCTGAACTGATTCTTTATGAGAATCTCCTATGCAGTTAGGTTGATATTACATTGATAAATACAGCCAGTGATTAAACTGCATTTGTTTACAGTTCTGGACACTGAGCCTAAAATTTCAAGCATTAAACAAGGGCTTAGAAGGCACACTTTGACATTGTGCAGAACTTGAGAACGACTCTATCAGCTGGACTTGGTGCGTTTGGCTGCTGAGCAGTCAGCAGTTCTCTAGCTCCCTGCCAGGCACTGAGTGTGATGTGAATACTGATCTACTGTACTGGTCCTTGATGCTACTGTCAGAATAGTGCTCATACTAGATTTAAACCTGCAAACAGATAAAGTATATTTGTTTCTTGCATCAACTGATGTCCAGATGTTAGAAAGATAAATTGCTTGTTGATAGAATTGCCTTGTTAAGGGTTAGGGCTTGACATACTTCAATGATCTCAGACCTAGGGGGAGGTTAACAAAGTTTGGGAAGAAGGATATACTACTACAGTGGACACAAATAATGCAGAATTTGTGGACCATGAGGACATTTGGCAGAACTCCCAAAATCTCCAGCATGTGGCTTTGGGCTGCTGCCAATGGACTGAAGAGACGACATGCTGCTTTAGCTTTGGGGACGTTTCATGGTGTCCTCTCCTCCAATATAGGCAAATGCGATTAAAAAATCATCTTTGTGATGTATCTGCCAAACTATATCTGGCTGCCACTTTATCGTGAATATTCATAGTGCTGTTTGCAGTATGGGGTAGGTAAATGCCAACTATAAACCCATCCAAAGCCTTTCGTTATTCTGATAGCCTTCATTACCTTCCTGACTTTTTTCTCTAGAAGGGATTATAACTCAGGAAGACAGCTACATGCTATCCTTCCCTGTAGTTAAGGATCAAGGTTGAAATCCTGGTTGTTGGTCCAGATTTATAAACAGACATATGAAACAGACTGTGCTGTGTGTATTGGTGGTTGATTAATGTGACAGTGTTGAAGGCTTTAAATAAAAAAGGTCAGATGCCCTAGAGACTTCTGCTGAATACCTGATCATTTTTTATAGAATAATTTGTATGCTAGAAACATGGTGGCTGGTAAACACAGCTGTTCTGGTAAAACTGCTTCCTTCAGTTTATGGGTTATCTTGCATCTGCAGGTAGAAAAAACAGTCAGACCCTCAGACACAATTCAACTAATTAGGCCACTGACACTAGCTGAGACACTTTTGAAAAAAAAAATAAGAAGAACATATTCAAAAGAAGAAAGTGATACAGATTGAGTGTGCTCTATTCTACTAGCAGTGCAAAACCAACCCATAGCGATCACTGTCTGCCACATGGAAAAACTGGGAAACAACAGAGAAAAAAATTCTTCACGGTGAAAGTGGTTAAACTCTAGAAAACATGCCCTGAGAGGTTGTGGAATCACTGTTGGTGAACGTTTTTGACAGAATAGAAGAAAAAAGTAACATCATGTAACTTTGGAAGTTAGTCCTGCTTTGATCAGATATTTGGACGAGATGACCTTGAGGGCCCTTTCCAGTTTTGGGGGATTATAGAAAATGCTATATTCAGGTTCACTTTCCCCAGGGTGAAGTGCACTTGCCTGAAATAGAAAGGCCGGTTCATGAGGTGTTGAACACATGTTGTTTATCCTTTAAAATGCTCTATACCACTCATGCATTTTATCCACAGTCAGAAGAACTGGAGAGACACCAGTTCTTACTTTTTTATTGCTCTGTTTCTTGTTCCCCACTGAAGATTTACAAATCTGGGAGAACCAGTTGGGAAGTGGCAGTGAGTGGGTATGTATGTGCCACCCACAGCACATCTTCCATCAAAGCTGTCAGTGGTGGTATATGCATATTGCTTCAGAGCAAAGCCCAACCCTTGCTTGGAAGTGATGAGATATTTCTAACAGCTGCATGAAATTCTGCCATAGAGCGGTTCTAGCTGGCTTGTACTGGAACAGAACAAAAAGATGATGCTTGAGAAAACTAAATGTGAGGCTGTCTTCTGACTGGTTCTTCATTTTGTGTTCTGGCTTATTTATGGCCTTCTCATCAGACTGTTTATTATGGTACAATCTCCGTATAAATGACTCCCATTGTCTTATAAAAAAATGGAAGGAGAAAGGGCAAAAGAGTATCCTGCGGAAGAATCTGTACATTTAATTTGTCAGGAGCATCCCCATAGAAAAAGAAAGTTAGTTATTTCACAATTGTCTAGATTTTATCAAAACTCACTATGAAAGTAATTTTGTTAAAATATGACCATAAAAAATTTGGTTATGGTTGCTGAATAATAGTCCTGTCACAGCTCCTTATCCTTCTCAATCTCAGTTACTTCAGAGGTTTGTTCATAGTCAAAGGTCAATGCATTCAGCCTGTAGTCACTGATTTATTGTGTCATACACTCTCACAAGTGATTTTCAATACTTCTTACCAAACACATTTTATCATGTTTGAGCTCTGTGGAAGGAAATACTGTGCAACTCAAACATGGCAGCTTTTTAAAAGTGATCCATTGCAAGTCCTACACTGTCTGCTACTGTCTCAAATGTTTTTTTTTTTTTTTCTAATTTCTCCTTTATGATGGGAAATATGTAGAAATATTTCACTCC